AGGGGATGGGGATCTGGGATCACTAGTCCTGGGAGATCCAAAGTGGATGGGGATCTGGGAGATCCACAGGGAACAGAGAACATGGCCTTACTTCTGCTGATACTCTTTGATGAGCCGCTTGGCCTTGCTGTATTTCCGTTCCAGGGTCTGGTACTGGGCTTGAGTCTCTTTCAGGTGCTCATCCACCGCCTGGCACAGGTTCTGAGCCTCCATCCAATAACCCTCCAGCTTCTCCATCCTCTCCTTGTTTTCCTCCACGCTCTGCTCCAGCTGGGCCTTCTCGGCTCGCCAGCGAGCCTTCTCCTGCTCAATGGACTGCAGCTGGGAGCAGAGACCACAGCGCACAGGGTGAGGGGAAGAGGGGAAGACGGGGAAGGGAGACTGTGCCGGGGGATGACAGGTAGGGGGAGGGGAGATGAGGGGTATTTGGGGAGAGGGGCTGCATGGGGCAGAAGATGGGGCAGCACATGCACCCCAGTAGCAGGGAGTGTTGGGAGAAGTATGGGTGTGTGTTTGCGTCTCTTTGGTGCTGTGGACTGTGGTTGAGTGCGTGGTTGTGTGCTGTTGTATCTCAGCGCGTGGTTGTGTCTCTGTGGGTTTGTGCTTGTGTCTCTGTGTGTGCGCTTGTCTCTCTGTGTGTCTGGTTGTGTGCTGTTGTATCTCTGCGTGTGGTTGTTTGTGTGTGTGCTTGTGTCTCTGTGTGTGCTTGTCTGTGTGTGTGTCTGGTTGTGTGCTGTTGTATCTCAGCACGTGGTTGTGTGTCTGTGTGTTTGTGCTTGTGTCTCTGTGTGTGCGCTTGTCTCTCTGTGTGTCTGGTTGTGTGGTGTTGTATCTATGCGCGTGTTTGTGTATCTGTGTGGGTGCTTATGTCTCTCTGCATGCGCTTGTCTCTGTGTGTGTCTGGTTGTGTGCTGTTGTATCTCTGCGCCTGGTTGTATATCTGTGTGTGTGCTTGTGTCTCTGCGTGTGCTTGTCTCTGTGTGTGGTTGTGCATCCTTGTGTATGTCTTTGTGTGCTGCATGTGTAGTTGCGTGGGGGGATTTGCGTGAGATTATGCATGCTTGGTTCTGCCTGTGTGTGCGGCTGTGCGCTATTGTGAGTGTGGTGACATCAGCGTGTGCGGTCGGGTGTCTCTGTGCGTGCTCGTGTGTGTGCGCGGTTGTGTCTCTCCACGCCTGTGCGTCGTTGGGCAATACACACAACGGGGCCAACTGCGAGCGAGGAGGAAAGCAGAAGACCCCACGCTAGAGCAGGACTGGCGGAGGCCATGCCGGGTAGGGGAAAGGAGGGAACGGAAGAATAGGGAGGTGCCAGCAGCCCAGGCCGGCCGGGATCCTGCGGGTGAAGACTCACGGGACCAGGGAGCCCTAGGAGGGGACCCTCCCGCCACCCCCCACACGGCCCCTTCTCCGCAGCTCACCTTCCTCTTCAGCTGCTGGATCTCGGCCTCGGTGACGGCGTGTTTGATCTGGAGCTGACAGAGAGTATGAGCGGTTACGCCCTGCATTCAGGGAGATGCCAGCCCCAGCCACTGCCCTGGCGCCCTCAGCCCCGGCCACTTGCAAGCAGTACATTTCCATTAGAGTCAAGGTATGAACCCCAGAGTCCTGGCAACACCCCCACCAGGGGTACATGACATGGTGCTGCAGTGAATCCCCCCCAGGCACACAACACCGGATCCCTGCCCTCAACTGTCGGGGGCCGTTGCTGTGGGGTGATGCAACAGCGTGCTCCACCTCAGAGGTGGCCGCACTTCAGCACAAGGTGCTGGGGCTCCAGTTCTCCTCTAGCCTCAGCTGGCTTTGCATTAACGTGACGCTCCTGACCCCAGCGGAGCGGCACCGGTGGGAGAGGAGAATCAGCTGGCAGGGCCAGAGGGCCACAACAGGGGTCGGCACCCTCTGCGCAGAGCTCGCCTGGAGATCTGGGCTGTGCTTAGACCCCGCAGCCGGGGGTGCCGCTGGGCTGCCTTCGTCAGAGCTTACAGACAGAGCTTCTAGCCACTAGAGGGCAACATAACCACACGCATACCAATAATCACACGCGTGCACCACACCCCCACTGAAACAGATACGTGCACGCACACCCATGCACTTGTGCACCACACCCATGCATGAACGTATGCCCGTTATCCCATGACACACATGGACACGTGCAAGTATGCACAGACAGCCTTGCACGTGTGAATACACACACAGGTGCAAACTCACCTGCACTCTGACCCCAGACACACACATGGACATGTGCATGCACCGATGCCCACCCGTGCACTCAGACACACACACATGCATCCGCATACACACATGTACACACTCCCACAAGAATAAACACACCCTGATCCACACACACACTCACACGGGTGCCGTACACCCCTTCTGCCTCCCCCCACTCCCATTGCGGGTGTCTTCGGGGAGCTCCCCTTTCCCCGTCTTTACCTCCTTAAACTTGTGCACCAGCTTCTCGGGGTCCATCTCGACAGGGGACAGCATGTCCTCATTCTCAGCCAGTTCGAAGACCTCGATGGCCATCTCGCTGCTGGGGAACATGGGGCTCATCTCCTCGTCCTCGTCCGTGGCATATTCGCCCGTCTGCGGGCACAGAACCGGGAGCTTTGGTCCGCTTCCTCCCTGTGATCCACCCCCAATCCAGCACATCCCAGACCAGAGCCATTCATAGCGCCGGCAGCTACCCCCTCACCACCACCGCTGCTCCCCAGAACCCTAAAACCCAGCCCCCCTTCCCGGTCTGCAGGGTCGGGGCAAAGCACCTTGTGCAAACTTAACCTGCCGGGGCAAAGGATGGCCTGGTGGTTTCTGCACTTGGCTGGCACTCAGGGTCAGGTCCCAGCTCTGCTGCTAACACCCTAGATTCATACCTGGGGCCGCTGCTGCACCTTTCCGGTCCCCATCTGTAACATGGGGGGGGGGGTAAGAGATCTGTCCTGCCTCTTCAGAATGTGATACCTGCCCTGTGTGTGCGTACAGTGCCTAGCACGACGGGGACCCAATCTCAGCTGAAGTATCCAGGCGCAACCATAATACAAATCATTATTACCGCTATTCCCACAGTGCCGAGTGGCCAGGACCCATTGTGCCAGCTCTTGGAATGGCTGGAGACCTCAACAAAAATCTCCAAAAGGCATGAGACGGTGCCCCTGTTCCTCACAACACCCCCCGAGAAGCAGGGAATTATGAACCCCATTTTACAGGTGGGAAAACTGAGGCATCCAGCAAGCTGCCCAAGGTCACTCAGCAGCAGAGCCGGGAAGAGAACTGAGGACATCCTGACGGTTAGCCCCACGCGCTAGCCACCAGCTCAGCTGTGCACCTGCAGCGTTATTGATTCGGGCCGAGATTTCGAAAGACGCCTAAGTGATTTAGGCACACAACTCCTGTTGAAATCGAATTCAATGGGCATCAAGTGCCTAATTCCACGAGGCTGCTTTGAGAATCCCCACGGGTGTGCGGGGGGGGGGGGGGGGGGGGGGGGGGGGGGGGGACGGGGGGGGGTCGTGTCTGTTGGGATATTTCATGGGGGGGGGCAGGGAGTAGCTGTAATTCGACACGTCATTATTACAACTTCTGACGATGATGTTTGTGTGCTGCTGAAATCAACCACTGTTATAGACCGGTTAATAACAGGAAGGGACTGGAGCAGAGAGAGTAGGATCAGTTAGATCTGTCCCGCACCCAGCACAAAGAGGCCCTGAAGGCGCCCCCCCCTCCTCCCGGCAGTGCAATTATTTAATAATAACAGTGGGCCAGATCCCAGCTGGCGTCCATCTTGCTCCACTGACGTCAATGCTGCAGGTTTAGCCCAGGTGATGACCTGGACCAATAACAACCGCTTTCCCGAAGGAGCTGGCGCTATTGGACAGAGCATTAGACTGGGACTCGGGAGGCCTGGGTTTGTTTGGCTCTGTTACTGGCCCACTGGGTGACCGTGGGCAAGTCACAGCCCCGTTCCGTGCCTCAGTTTCCCCGTGCGTCACATGGCGATAACAATGCTGCGCTCCAGCGTAAAGTGCTCTGAGAGCTACTGATGCACAGCGCTCGCTAAGAGCGAAAGTTATAATTAGACGTCGTGACATTCGAATGGAGCGATTCCTTCATTTTCCACTCCTCTCCCACACAACACAAGCCCACCAGGGACCCTGCCAGGAGAGCCCATTAATCCTGGATGCTGCCACATTCCACCGCCCGGGAGAGACAGGCACAGCCCTGGAAACAGGAGAGAGGGGCTTGCACCCGGCATTTCTCTCCGCTGCAGAGCCCGGCAGGGTGTAGGAAGCTACCTCCTGGCTGGGTGCCTGGCAGCACGCCCAGCGATTAGGACGCTGAGAAGAGGGCGGCAGGGGGCTGATACTCCAATGCCCTGCACCTCGTGCGTCACTCACACCAGTGCAAAGTGCTTCCAGGCGGAGTCGGTGGCGTTTCACCCCCACTTTTCACTGGAGTAAATGACAACCTGAGAGGTGGGGCAATGAATCAGGTCGACGGTGTCTCATTGGGCTCCTGGTACACAGGCTAGGTGAGTCAGTTCTCCTGGCCCTGCCGCAGCCCGGAGACAGGCTGTTGTGGAGCAGTGCGGTGTGTGAGGGAAAGCACAAGGGTGAACGCTCATGGACAGGGCAATCTCTCCAGGATACGGCCAGTGGCCGGGGTGGAGCAGGGAATGGGGACATCTGGATTGGCATGGGCCTGGAGCCTGACTTCCCCCTCATCTCAAGAGAAGGTGCCCCAACCAAGCTAGGACTCGGGTCCTTTGGAGGATCAGTGGGTTTGTTGGTGCACCTGCACAGGTGGCAGTATGGACTAGTGAGTAGAGCCACGGGACTGGGACTCAGGAGACCCGGGGTCTATCGAGTGGGTGATCTTTGGGGGAGTCCCGCCACCCTTTGTCTGTCTTGCCTATTCAGACCAGAAGCTCTCTGGGGCAGGGACTGGCTCTCCCTCTGGGTACGTACAGTCCCTAGCACATGAAGGCTCTGATCTTGGTTGAGGCCATTAGGTGCCACTGCAGAATAACTAAGTATGGGGTTAATTAGCTGGATTCCTCTCTGACCCCAGGGAGAGGGGGAGTCTCCCTGGGGGCCTGTACTGGAGCGGGGGAGGACGGGATTGCAAGGACACCCAGCACATGCTCCGGTCTCCAGCCCTTGCCCAAAGGCGACCGGGAAATGCCGCTCGCGCGCGCCTCTTACTTCTTCATCCTCTTCCGTGTACTGGGTGTATCTCTGCTCCATCATCTCCCGCTGCCACCGCTCCTGCTCCAGCGTCTGCTGGATCAGCTGAGCTACCTCGCTTTGCTCGCCCGGCTTCTCCCGCCCGATCAGGAACCTGCGACAGGAACAGACACAAGGCCAGCGGGTCAGCCTAGGAGGAGCCCTGTGCCCCGGAGGCAGAGCGGCTGCTGGTTGATCCCAGCAGGCCCCGTCCTCCTCCCTGTGTCTCTCCCCTGCGTCTGCAGCGAGGCTGCCACTGCGGTGGGGTGACGTTAGAGGGTGGTGGGGTGAAGCCGGGATTCAGGGGGGCAGGGCCACCCCCCCTCGACTCCCAGCCTACGGCAGGGTCTCATTTCCTCCCCACTGCCCATGAAAGCTGGGATGGGAACAGGCCCCAGAGCAAGACCCGCTGGAATCTCCTTGCCCACCTGACTGCAGTGTCCAGCCCGCTTACGAGGAGGTGCACATGCTGCCCCTCTCCACGATCCACCCCCCAACCAATCAGTTTGGCACTCCCCGGGCCGGCCTCGCCCATGCCTTGATGGGCTCGGCCCCACCCGTGGGTGCGGAGGGATGGGCATGGGCTAGGCCGGCGGGGCCCAGTTTCTACTCCAGGCTCGGCTGCGCTGGCTTGACGTCGCCGCGTTGGTGGGCGGGTTTATTTTAGGCTGATTATTTTAAAAATAGATATTGGAGAGAAAACATCCGGAGCTGGGTGTCGGGCGCAGAGCGAGGGTGGCCCCCGGCCCCTCGCGCTGATCCCGGCCAGGAAGGGCGGAGCCTGAGATGCTAGGGGCGAGATAAAGGGGTCAGCAGGGCAATTCTGCAAACAGCCCTGCAGCGAGGCGGAAACACCGCCGGCCAGTGTTTCCCCTCAGCTGCTCCAGCATCGCTCACTTCCTCTTTCGCTCCCACAGCCTGCCCCCCTCGCCCCGCTCCTGGCCGGGGGGAACGCTGGTTTTTCACCCAGCAGGCCCCTTGCTGGTTGTGGGAGGGGGTCCGAGGGGCAGGGACAGGGTGTGATGGGAGGGAGAGAGGGGTGTGGGGGTGGTCTGGGATGTTACCCATGTTCCGGGATGCACTGGGGATGTTCCCTGGGGTTTCCAGGGGATACCCAGTGGGGGGCTATGGGGGGCACAGTGGAGTTTATGGGGCTACGGGAGCTAAACAGTGGATTACTATGGGGTGTGCAGTGCAGGGTATCAGGGTCATGGGAGATACACAGTGGGTGCCATGGGGTGCACTAGAGGTTCTAGGAGACACACAGTGGGGTGCCATGGGGTACACTAGAGGTTCTAGGAGATACACGCTGGGGTGCACAGTAGATGTTATGGGGCTGTAGGAGATACACGGTGGAGTGCCATGAGGTGCACTAGAGGTTCTAGGAGATACACGCTGGGGTGCACAGTAGGTGTTATGGGGCTGTAGGAGATACACGGTGGGGTGCGATGGGGTGCAC